AAACTGTAGCGGGACTTAGAAAAATTTTCGATCCGATCTGAGAAACCCTAGTTATAGTAGAGTGATGAGTCATCTCTATCGGGCTTTGCCATAGGGCCCGTCACAGATGACTCATCGGTGACGGGCTCCACACTAATGCCCGATTGAGATGACATTTAGGCCCGTCACGGATGACTCATCTGTGACGGGCCCTAAGATAATGCCCGATAGAGATAGATAAATCTCTATCGGGCTTTAACTAAGGCCCGTCACCGATGACTATTTTTCCATTTTTCCAAACAAGTCTTTATATTTGTGCGTACAAAATATATAGGTGCTGTATAATAATTCATTTTATTAGTCATAATACATTTTCAGATACTAAATGATTTCAAATTGAAATATGGTGAACAACAAAATTGTAGAGGTTATCAAGATCTACAACTTTTATTTAGGTCATTTTTCTATATAACTTTTTTCCCAACAGCTTGAAATTGATTTTGAATATATGACAAATCTAAACAGCATTTGTAAATACTAAATGATTTCAAATGGGAATATGGTCAACAACAAAGTTGATCCTCTCATCAAGATCTACAACTTTTATCTTGATGAGAGGATCAACTTTGTTTTTGACCATATTTCCATTTGAAATCATTTAGTATTTACAAATGCTGTTTAGATTTGTCATATTGTCAAAATCATTTTCAAGCTGTTGGGAACAAAGTTATATAGACAAATGACCAAAATAAAAGTTGTAGATCTTGATGAAAGGATCAACTTTGTTTTTGACCATATTTCCATTTGAAATCATTTAGTACCCAAAAATGGATTTTTTCTTCCACATACCCTTCTCCTTTGTCTTGCTACGTTTTCTTTTCTTCCCAACCTCATTGCTTATGTCATTGACCATATTGTGGACCTCATCTTCGGACAAATCTTTGGGAGCAGGCTGAAGTTGTCTCTTACCGTTAAAAATTTTCTTCTTTCTTCTAAATGCGTGACGTAGCGGGAGCCACCTCCGATGACCCATGTATACCATCTTTCGTGATTTCTTCAGCCACCGGCTTTGTGTATGTTCCTTGCAATCGGAGCATGCCTTCTTTCCTTTTATAGTTTGTCCGGAAAGATTACCGAGTGCAGGGTAGTCATTAATGGTGCAGAACAATAGAACTCTTAGCTTGAAGTTCTCCTGACCATATGCATCTCAAGTTTCCACACCTTCTTTCCAAAGAATCTCCAGATTGTCGATAACAGGCTCCAGGAATACATCGATATCATTGACGGGTTGCCTCGGACCTTGGATTAACAAGCACAACATAATATATTTCCGTTTAAAGCATAACCATGGCGGGAGGTTATAGTTCGCAATAAGAACTGGCCAAGTGCTGTGAGTACTACTCATGTCACCGAAAGGATTCATGCCATCCGTACACAGACATATCCTCATGTTTCTAGGGTCGGCAGCAAAGTCTTTGTGTTTTCGATCGATATTCCTCCATTCAATCGAATTTGCTGGGTGTCTAAGCATACCGTCATTCCTTCTCTCCGTGGCGTGCCAACGTACTAACTTCGCTTCGTTGGGGTTGGCAAAGATTCTCTTGAAACGATCAATGATAGGTAGATACCACACAACCTTTGCCGGACCACCCCTCTTTGACTTCTTTCCTTCGTCAGCACTTTTCTTTTGATTGTATCGAGAAGCCTTGCAGACATGACAAGCATCCAAGTCCGCATATTGCTTGTGGTACAATATGCAGTCATTTGGACAAGCGTGAATTCTACGGACCTCTAACCCCAGTGGACACAGAACCTGCTTTGCTTCATATGTCATCTCGGGCAATGTGTTCTCAACAGGAAGCATAGCCTTCGAAATTCCTAAAAGATCTGCGAAACTCTTGTCTGTCCATCCACTACTTGCCTTCAGCTTCATTAGGTCCAAGGTAACTGATAACTTAGTGTGTTTTGCTTTGCATCCAGCGTACAGTGGCGTCTCGGAATCACTAACCAACCTGCTGAACTTCATTCCATCTCTCTCATTCTGGGCTGGGTCCTCAACGTCACGTAACATGTCTTGCAGCAGATCGTGATCCACATCAACCATTTCACCGCCCAATGGAGAAGGTATAAACATGTCGTGCTCATCTTCATCTTCCTGATTATGCGCACCACTTCTGTCTGCTGCTGCTCCTCTTCCTGATTCTTGCTCTCCATGCTTCACCCAACATATATAGCCCTCCATGAATCCTCGTTGTATCAGATGACCGTGTACGTCCTCTCCGCTATCAAACATATTCTCATTCTTGCAATCTGCACATGGACAACACATGTAATCACTATTTCTTCTTTTCCGATCCTCCTCCGTGGTGTTCATAAAATTTATTACACCCTTTCTGTACTCCGTAGAATGACGTTTCAAATTTTTCGCATACATCCAACTTCGATCAATTGCTACAAAATAAAAAAAACAAATTACATGCACATCTTATAAGATCAGTATTGCAAAAGTAAGACGTGATGAAATTGCTCAATTAATGATTAATATTACTCACTTGATTAATCCATTTTGGTCACTTTTGGGAATTTTCTGTTTTCCTTGGAAAAAAAGACAAAAAATCGCCCCCTACAGCCTCCCACCAAAATAGTGAATAATGGGATACAGTTACACTAGGTGGTGGGGGAATTTATACTGTGCAACAAATATCTGTAACGGCCCTAAAACAATCAACCGTGACGAGCGTACAAGTAATCTCTATCGGGCCTTAATAAAAGCCCGTCAAAAAAGAGTGTCATCTGTGGCAGGCATTAAACTTATCTCAATCGGGCCTCTAGTTGGAGCCCGTCACGGATGACACTTATCTGTGACGGGCCATAGTTGAGGCCCGATATAGATATGGAACTCTCATCTCAATCGGGCCTCAACTATGGCCCATCACAGATAAGTGTCATCCGTGACGGGCATTAGTTTTATGCCGATATACCATAGCTGTGCGACCACATCTCAATCGGGCGAAACTTCGGCAAGTTTCGCCCGATTGAGATTACTTCCTTGTGACGGTCCGCAAATTCCAGTCTTGTTATGGGCCGTCACAGATGGGCGGATCTGTACTAGTGACATTTAATACTTGACATCATATTTCTTACTTAATTTCACTCATTTTTTCCTCTATGTGATTGTGCTCTCTCCTATAAGTTTCTATCTCTCATGTATAATCTTTTAACAAAATAATAGAGTACTTTTAATCCACGTAAATATTAAAAGTTACAATATAATTATAATTTCTTTTACGATATAGGTATAGGTAATTTAAAATTAAAAAAAACGATCTGACTATTCTTTAAAAAAAAAGTATGACGTCACGTCGCCACATATATATGTAAGATACTCCCACAGCACCCATGCAAGATTGGGCGGGATAGATCATTAATCCATGCATGGGAGTGTGTTGAGCACACAAACAATTAAAACTCACACCATATCTTTAATCAAAACTGATTATTACATGCGTGCATGTATGCATGCACACGCAGCATATTGCTCAGGCCATTACCAACCCAAAACACTAGACATGGTTTCCATAAACTCCACATCATCAAGAAACTACTCTTCCAATGCAAACACTACTATTCCATACTCGAATTTAATGCTTCTTATCACACATAATGTCTTGGATGTTGTGTAGAAATCATGTCTCATGCAAGACATGTGTAACATCCTAAAAATCCCTAATAATAAAAATCACTAAAATTTCGAATTTTTTAAAACTTTTGCATCATGCTGGATGTTATGGTTGCTATTGCTTGCCAAACTATAAATTGTCACGATTGAAGATTAAGCTAAAGCCGTACAACTAAGAAGTAATTAGAATAAGATAATTATTATTAATCCTATAAATATTTATGCACCACAACAGAGCCATGCAAAGAGAAGGTTAATTACTAATTTAATTTATAGGACAAATATTAAACTATAATAATCCATATAGAGGTAAAACCAATTTAAAAGGACAACCTATCCACATGAAATGATGACCACCACTATAGTGATCCTATTTCTAGATGAGTATTTCATTGGAATATTTACATTAATATTTAACGTATCTTTCTGGCCATAAAATTCACTCAGATAAAATAATTGGTCATGTAAATGAATTAAGCTTTATATATATAATGCGTTTATGAGAGTGTATAATTAAACATTTAGATCAATATTGTACCAAGTCTCAATTTACTTTTATGGAATAATAGATTAAGCATGTCCATGTAAAATACATTGTTATACAAATAAACTCGACCAATGTGCTATTGTATTATTGAAGGTCACATTAGTATATTTAATTAGTTTTTAAGAAATATCAAAGCCTAGAAGTTATATTGGATAATTTTTGGATAATCTAAAGGAAAGCAAATTCATTTGGGAACTAATGAATAAATAAATAAATATTCACATGAAATATCTGAATTACCAAAATCCAAAATGTGTAGAGCTACATTTCAATTCCAAATCCAATCTTAGCCATTTTGCAGTTTGGCCCCTCCATCTTTTCCTTTTTCCTTTTCTTCATTTTCTCTCTTTTCCCAGCCGCCACTGTTCCTGGGCCGCCAGGTGCTCGACCAGAGCCCTAGCCCAAGCCGCACACACAGCGCCACACCTCCGAGCTGCGACCGTGTCGCGCATGACCGGTGCGCCCTTCCGGTCACCTTGCACCGTGCGCGCGCTGTGTGCCACGCCACGCCCGCGTGGGCCCACCGCCCGACCAAGCCGCCGAAATCCCGCACAAAGGCCGCGTCGCCACGAGTGCTTGCGTCATCCCGTCTCATCGCGAGTCGCCATCGAGCTGAGGGATAACGGCCGCCACGTTGTTCCACGTCACCCTAGAAAATAGCCCGCACCACCCTATCGGCAGCCGTTACCAATGCCTGTCGCTGCCATTCTTGTCGCCATCACATCGCCATCGCGTCGCCATCTTGTCGCCCCGAGCCGAGACCGCTGGATAATGCAGCGCTTCTTCCCACAGCTAGCAATCCCTCCCCTGCAACTCTACTGTATGGAAAATCATGCCCGATCGATGCATCGAACCCGAATCCTGGGAGGATCGAAACTTATCCGCGTCATCCATCTCCTTGCCCTTATCCGATCGCTATTAGAGCTCTAGCTCGTCCAGGCATGTGCTGGCGATCATATCCACACCGTTTGCTTACACCCTAAGCTAAGCCCCAACAAAATCCCCACCCCTCTGCCTTTCCTCTCGAATGCATTTCATCGAGCACCTTATGTGCGTGCCTCCATAGCCATTGCTTGAAGCTGGAGCCGGTGCTGACGACCGCGGGAGCTGTGGCTTCGGGATGCCTCTGCTGCTGCTGCTACCTTGGATCAACTCCGGGTGCCGTTGTGACCTGAGGACCTGCAGTCAAACACCTGCGCGCTCGCCGTCGTCGTCCACCTCTGCTTCAGTGCCGTCTCCCCACCACAGCATCGAACATCGCCGTTTCGCCGCCTCTCGGTAATAACTCGTGCCTAAAGCCTCTCCTAGTTCCATAGAAGCTTAGTATCTCACCAATTTTGGCGATTAGCACCCAAAGCCGTGCCGGACCGGCTACTGTTTCGCCGCCGGCGAGCTCGCCGTGGACCGGCCATCCCGGGGGCTCCCCTTCCTATCTAGCTAACAAAATGGAACCCCTGTACGCCGTAGATGCTCACGCACTCATCAATTTGGTCAGAAACCCTTCCTGTCGTCCTAGCCACTTGCAGCCGAGCTCGGCTATGGTGCAGCCATGGCGGCCATGCGCCCCGTCCCTCCAAGCGCCGCCGCAGCCGGTGGGTGGTCGCCGGAGCTTCTCCGCGCCTCCCCTAGCCGCCGCCGGGTCGCCCTCGGCCGACCTTCCGTGCGCGCCGTGTTCCCCTGCTGCTCCCGCTCGGTCGGGAGGAAGAAGACGAACGTTGAAGACGACCTTCAGCCGAGCCACTGACAAGCCATCACCACTCCTCCTATTTCCTTTAGAAACTTAATCCTGTGAAAAAAGAAAATCAAAGCTTTGACCCCACATGTCAGCAGCTGTTAGGGATATGGATATATTTTGGATTAAAAATAAATGAATTATGAACAGTAGCTTTTCACAATTTCTCGGATTAATTCGAAATTGAATCTTTAAACTAGTATAACTTGCTCATTTTAACTCGGATTTGAGTGAAACTCGAACCTAAATTCATTTAAAATCATAATCTTTCCAATGGTATATAACTCACTGTTTAATAAAATCTATTTATAATTATTATATAATTAATATCAAGATGATACTTAATAGTCAACTTAAAAATGTGTTAATAAATACAATTGATATTGTACAGTAGAGAAGATGTCAAATAATTATATTTAACATGTTTTGTCACTGCAGCAATCACATAAACTAATTATGAGGGATGTTTCAAATTAACGGATGTATTGGAAAATACTAGTACTATTAAATATTCGGTGGCAGTATAATTAAACCCATGACTTATAAAAGTTTCGCTTTATAATTGAGTAGATAAACTAGGAAACACATTAAACAATCCTAAGCTTGCTTAGGAGAAATAATAACAGAGCTAGTATGATTTAGTCACCTATATGAAATTAATTAACCAATGTTATATCAGGTGGAATAATTCGGTTGACATCCATCAACTAACCCAACAGAACCATCTAGAGCACATCTACTGTACGACTTGTATTAGGAAACTGATGTACAGTATATTGATAACCTACCTTTTGCATATATTAAACTGAGGTGTATATGATGAACATGTATAGTAGATTAGCGAAATGTGTATCCCATTTATACTATGATGGTTAGCTCCTAAATAAGCCACCATGACAATAAGAATGATTAAGAGATTATCCGTTAGCAAACACGAGTATGAACAGCCCTAGGTTCAACCCCCAACAATTATATTTTGTTTGCGCATTTGATTGTTGTTTGAATATTGGTTTTTCTCGCGTATTATAGAATTTATATATCGGATAGTCGTGAGGCAACGTATGCAGCTTCCAGGAGGTGAAGGTTGATCAAGATTATATCAATAATAAGGATTATTCTGAGCAGGCAAGTCATCACTATTCCTTGAACATGTTGATCCCAATTGCGAAATTGTTTTGTTTACAAATAAAATTGCATGCAATGATGAACATCCTACTTGTGATTATGCCATGCCTTGATTATTGTTTACCCCTTATTCCTTCGTAACCATGTTTACGTATGAAGTCCCTAGTCAATTATGACAAATGCTTAGAAATGCTATTATAGAATCATGCATACTCATATTTATCAAATGCTTTATGCTTGGGCAATTACCTTTGGGAAGGTAATTGAGATGCGGCATGTGGAGACATGAGCACCACATTGCCATGATATTGATGACATGATTTGTGAAAGGAGAAATAAAACTAAACAATTGTTTTTGACTGGGGCAGACGGAGGATTTGGGTGGTATCTGGAAAAGGCTAGTACCGTCCCTGGTCAATTAAGGACCGAGCCATGAAGTTAAGCATGAAACGACCCCCGTACAACCGTACTTCTCGTATGGGTATAGACCTAGCGGATTAGATAGCCGAGCGGAGACAGTATCCCTGCATAGATGGTTCACCCCTGAGTGAGGCAGGTGCGCTATGGTGGGACAGCCGTTGAGGTAGGGCCGAGAGGCGAGCCCTACATTGGTGTCGCCATTGGTAGGACTGCCATGAGTGTGTGAGAGAGAGAACTTAACTTGAACCATGATTTAATATGTGTGTGAGACTTCTCTTTCCCGGGAGCGCCAGAACTCCTCTGACTGCTAGAAACATGGACGCCTAGAGTGCATGAGGATTTAAGTTCATGAAGCGGGTACTGCTAATGCGAGGTTATCGAAAAGCTTTGCCGTGACGCGTCTCATGTGTTGGGACGAGGCTCATGTGTTGGGCAGTCGCGGAGTACGTGTAAAGTGTATATCCACTGCAGTGTGAGTAAACCAATCTATTCGAATAGCCGTGCTCGTGGTTATTGAGCACCGGGACGTGTATTACACTTGGCTAGACTCAAAATTCTTAACTTGTGTGGGATGGGATATTGCATGATGATTTTTATGCTATTGGAGCCACTTCCTGAGAGGAGGGAAGGTGGACGTCCTCAGAAAACCATGACGACTCAATGGCGGGAAGCTATCCTTGGGATCACAATGGATGGTGGACAGAACCGTCATTGTTTAATGTGAACACTGGTATTAAAACTTGATAAGTCTATGCTAGGTCTTAGGCTTGTGAAAAGAATTGCAAAACTAGCTTTATGCAAAAGAACCTGAAGCCATTCCTTGAAATACCCTCTATCATATGCATTGTTGTTGTGGTGGCTTGCTGAGTACGGTTAGTACTCATCCTTGTTATTTATATATCTTTTAGGAGAGTGTTGAAGAGAAGCCCTTGTCGGTACGCTTGCATATCCAACAAGATGATCGGAGTGCGGTCTTGTTCTAGGTCTCGTTCCCCAGTCGACTGCCTGTGGCATGTTAACCGGGCCCTTATATTATTTTGTCTTCCGCTGTTGTTCTCTGTAGTTGTTGGCCTACCTGGCCCTAATGTAAGTATTTAACTCTTTTAGCCTGAATTCATTCGTGATATGTTGTGATCCAACTATGTATGTGTGTACCAACTACTGATCCAGGGATTGGTACGGATAAACACAGAAGATTTCCGATTTCCAAAATTGGGGGTCTACAACATGGTTTCCTTCTCTTTCCTCATTTATTCAATTGCCACATCATTTTTCTTCCTAGGTGGCACCTTATTGAATGCTATCGACACCATCCTTGTCATTGGGTTGGGAATGGCCTGAGCTACTCTCCGATCCAGAGACTGAGGACTCCCTAATTGCAAACACTAATTAATACTTTTTTACGTAGGACATAATTAATAAACCTAATTAATAGATCATCTGCTGTAGAGATGATGAGGTAGCTAGGTATGGATGATCTAGCAGAAGCAGTGGCAGAAGTGACGGTCGCCGCGTTGTTTGCATTCGCCGCCACGGCACTGCGACTGACACCATGAGTTGCAAGCATCGTTCTGATTAGGGCCGCACCCGGTGTTCCCTCCCCACAAGTGGTAGTCCACGCAGCAGCGGGGCTGATCCGCCACTGCAAATTAGTTAACACAGCCAAACACAAACAAAAATTTGTTCAGAAACCAGACTAGTATACTAATACTAAAGGATTGTATTGGTAGATTGTGCAATTACTATACCTGCAGAGGCTACAAGAGCAACGAGGACAAGAAGAGCGATCGTTGCACAAGTGCCAACGCGAGCCATGGTGGTCGTTCACTGGTGGAGAAACCATCTTTCGTCGGTCTGCCGAATTCCACAATAGTCCCGGATGCAATAAAAACCGAGGCTAAAGATGATCTTTAGTCCCAGTTAAAAAGGGTAACGGGCATATTTGATCTTTAGTCCCGGTTGGTAACACCAACCGGGACTAAAGATATCTTTAGTCCCGGTTCAAATGCTGTCAGGGCCTGTCAGGCCCCCCGGGATCTTTAGTCCCGGTTGGTAACACCAACCGGGACTATAGATCTCGGGGATCTTTAGCCCCGGTTGGTAACACCAACCGGGACTAAAGTCCCACCCCTATATATATGTCTTCTTCCTCCTCCAGCTGCCCGAGCAAGTTTCAAAATTTCTTCAAAAAAGAGGGGAGGTCATGCCAAAATTTCTAGTGAATTTATTTTGGTGATTACATACAAATCGGAGGTTAGTGACAAGGTGTTGAAATGGAAGAAGATGAAGTGGAAGACGACAATATTCCGGACTTTGCTCAGTACGTTAGATTTGAAGGAAATCAAACGGGCGAGGAGGAAAGGGATGCTGATGGTAACGATGTTGCGGATGATCTTGGTCAGATGTTGTAGGATACCAAGGAGGACTGCGAAAGTGCAAAGGGGGCCCATAAATTGGACAAGATGTTAGAGGACCACAGAACTTCGTTGTACCCAGGTTGCGAGCAGGGGCACAAAAAGTTGGATACCACTCTGGAGTTCTTGCAATGGAAGGCAAAAAATGGGGTTAGTGACAAGGCATTTGGCGATTTATTGAAACTCGTCAAGAACATTCTTCCGAAGGGAAACAAATTGCCCGAGACAACGTACAAGGCTAAGAAGATAGTCTGCCCGCTAGGACTGGAAGTTCAGAAGATTCACGCATGTCCGAATGATTGTATCCTATATTGCGGTGAGGAGTATGAGAACCTAGAAGCATGCCCTGTTTGCAAAGCACTACGATACAAGATTAGACGAGACGATCCAGGAGAAGTTGACGGGCAGCTAACAATGAAGAGAATTCCTGCTAAGGTGATATGGTATTTCCCTATAATACCACGGCTAAGGCGTTTGTTCAGGAACAAGGGGAATGCTAGAATGATGCGATGGCACGCTGAAGAGCGTCAACAGGACGGGATGCTAAGACATCCCGCCGATGGTTCGCAGTGGCGAAACATCGACAGAAAATTTAAAGAAAATTTGGAAAGGACGCACGAAACATACGGTTTGGTTTGAGTACGGATGGCATGAATCCTTTTGGAGAGATGAGCAGCGGCCATAGCACTTGGCCCGTTACGATGTCTATTTACAACCTCCCCCCCTGGCTATGCATGAAGAGGAAGTACATAATGATGCCGATTAATATTCAAGGCCCCAAGCAACCTGGTAACGACATCGATGTGTACCTAAGACCACTAGTCGAAGATCTTAAGCTGTTGTGGAAGAAGGATGGTGTCCTCGTGTGGGACGAGGACAAACAGGAGGAGTTTAACATACGAGCGCTGCTGTTCGTAACCATCAATGATTGGCCTGCACTTAGCAACCTATCCGGACAGTCCAACAAGGGGTACAAGGCTTGCACTCACTGTATGGATGAAACAGAAAGTACGTATCTTAAGCACTGTAGGAAGGTTGTATACATGGGTCATCGTCGATTCCTTGCAGCAAACCACCCGGTACGGAAGAAAGGCAAGCACTTTGAACATAAGGCTGACCACCGTACGAAGCCTAAACATCGCAGCGGGAAAACAGTGTTTGCTATGGTTAAAGATCTTAAAGTAGTGTTCGGAAAGGGGCCTGGAAGCCAGCCTATAGAGAGCGAAGATGGTCACGCGGTGATGTGGAAAAAGAACTCTATATTTTGGGAGTTACCCTATTGGAAATTCTTGGACGTACACCACGCAATCGACGTGATGCACCTCACTAAGAACCTTTGCGTAAACCTTCTTGGCTTCCTAGGTGTATACGGAAAGTCTAAAGATACACTGGAAGCACGTAATGATCTGAAGCATATGGAACAACGCGGCGACCTTTACCCGGAACCAAAGGAGAAAGGAAGCCATTACTTGAGTCCAGCCAGCTACACTCTTAGCAAGGCAGAGAAGGAAAGTATGTTTGAATGCTTGGAGAGCATAAAGGTACCGTCTGGATACTCCACGAATATCAAGCGAATAATAAGCACGAAGGAGAAGAAGTTCACAAACCTAAAGTCTCATGACTGTCATGTGTTGATGACACAACTGCTACCAGTTGTAATAAGTGGTATCCTTCCAGACAATGTCCGGGCAACAATAACAAAGCTATGTGCATTCATGAACGCAATTTCGCAGAAGGTCATCAATCCAGATAGATTAGAAGCCCTTCAGAATGATGTGGTGCAATGTCTTGTCAGTTTTGAGTTGATATTTCCACCTTCATTTTTCAATATAATGACGCATCTACTTTGTCACCTTATGAAAGAGATTAGTATTCTCGGGCCTGTGTACCTACACAACATGTTTCCTTTCGAGAGGTACATGGGCGTTCTGAAGAAGTATGTTCGTAACCGTGCTCGTCCAGAGACAAGCATCGCCAAGGGTTATGGAACAGAGGAGGTCATCGAATTTTGCGTAGAATTTATCGAAGATCTTCGCCCAATCGGGGTACCCGAATCACGCCATGAAGGGAGACTACGGGGAAAGGGAACTCTCGGAAGGAAAGCAATAATGACGGTAAACAACAATTTATTCCGTAAAGACCATTTCACGGTTCTGCAACAATCTTCATTGGTAGCTCCTTACATCGAGGAGCACATGGCTCTAGTTCGCGCCAGGAACATCGGTAAGTCCGATGCATGGATTACACGGCATCACATTGATACTTTCCCCGCGTGGATACGACAACATCTCATGGGTAACGAGTCGATCAACCAACAACTTGCCTTCCTGGCGAGGGGACCGTCTGGGTCGATCGCGACATTCTAGGGATATGAGATCAATGGGTACACATTCTACACGAGAGCTCAAGACATGAAGAGCATGAACCAAAACAGCGTTGTTCGTGACGATGCCATGGGACACGATGGAACAACTAGCACGTATTACGGTGCCATCGAGGACATATGGGAACTTGACTATGGTCCTCTCAAGGTCCCTCTGTTCCGGTGCCAATGGGTTAGGTTGACTGGTGGAGGCGTAATGATTGATGACAGTGGGATGACAACGGTTGACCTTAACAAGGTTGGATACTCGGATGAACCTTTTGTCCTTGCCAATGATGTAACGAAAGTCTTTTTCGTGAAGGATATGTCTAGCAAAGGAAAGAAGAGCAGAGGGCCTGACGAGCCTAAGCGTCACGTGGTTCTCCCAGGCAAAAGAAAAATCGTCGGAGTTGAGGACAAGACTGACGAGGATTACGATCAGTTGGATGGGCAACCCCCTTTCACGGTGACGATTGACCCTAGCATCCTCCTATCAAATGAAGACACCCCTTACTCATGTAGCGATCACAAGGAGGGAACAATAGTGAGGAGAAAGTACGTGCGGTCAACCGTCACCGCCGATGTATTGCCGTAATTATTGTGTACACGATGTAAACTATTTTGGATGTATTGATTATCCATATAAATCAATTGATGTATGGCATATGTTAATTACGCACGATTATTAGAGGTTTTAACAAGTTTAAATCATGTATATGCTAGTTATATGTGATACTTACAATTTTTAAAAGTTTTAAATCATGCAGGTGGCAATTTCATATGTTAATTAGAGTTTTTAACATTTAATTTACTATCATTCATATGCTAATTATAATTGACTAGAGAATTTTTAAAAGTTTCAAATCATGCATGTGGCATTTACATATGTTAATTAGAGTTTTTCACAATTTAATTTACGTTCATTCATATGCTAATTATATATGACTATTCGAATTTTTAAAATTTTTAAATCATGCATGTGGCATTTACATATGTTAATTAGAGTTTTTAACAATTAATTTAATATAATTCCTATGCTAAGTATATATGATAATTACAATTTTTATTAATTTTAAATCATGCCATATGTATATACATATATTAATTAGAGTTTTTACCAATTTAATAATATCATTCATATGCTAAGTATATATGATTATTAGAATTTTTATTAATTTTAAATCATATATTTGCTTATTACGTTTTATCCACTTAATTTATTATAGAAAACAATAATTTTTTGAAATAATTGTAATTAATCTTTGTACTTTAAATAATTGTAATGCATTATCTTCTGTTTTAGAAACACATATGTAATGGAAAATAATATTTAGTGAAAACAATTAACAAAATAATTATTATCGCTATTTCATGTATTGCATTAGTTTTGCTTGCAAATTTTTTTTTGTTGCAGTATCACAGAAGTATTAATAGTGTCAATATTTCATAATGACACAAAATATTTTGACATAAATTTTATATTTGTTTATATTAATTTTCACATATTCGGTTTTAAAACATGAGGTCAAAAACAAGCTTGGCATGAAATTTTATCATGCTTTTGGTATGAATTTTAGCACTATTAAGAGACTTAGGCTGTGTTCGGCAGCAAGTTTTCCCAACTCCCCTCCCTCGTGTTTCGCGTGCACGCTTTTCAAACTGGTAAACGATGTGCTTTTTACAAAAAGTTTCTATACGAAAGTTGCTTTAAAAAATCATATTGATCTATTTTTAAAAAAAAATAGCTAATACTTAATTATCACGTGCTAATGGACTGCTCCGTTTTCCATGCAGAGTAGATTTGTTCCCAACAAGTCCTACCGAACTCAGCCTTAACGGAATAAGGGCAAACCCAAGCTTTAGATTCAAATAACAATGTTAAAATTACAAAGTTATAATCGACGATGTAAACAAGGAGCACAGTTGCCTCTTAAATCAAAGAGATAATTTATTTTGATCCTATTCTAAAAGCTTACTACTAACTTGGTCCTCTTTTCCAACTTTATTCATTTAACCCCACTTGCTATTGGATCGTCTTCTTTCTATAGAGTAAATACATCTCTTCTTTCTATAAATGTAAAGCCCACTAAACACCTAAAGTTCAACATGCAAGTATAGTATTTATTAGCATTTCTAAAACCTATATCCAAGTATGCCACCTCACCCACTAAGCATAAAAAACTAAACATGCATGTATATGGTAAGGGCAACACTAATATATATTATCAACATGGGTATTAGTGTCGGACTAAACGATAGGCGGTAGTAGGAAGAGACCCCATCCACAATGCTTATTTTGGCGAGATGGCAGTAAGGTGGGGTCCACAGGGTAAAAAAGATCGACGCTACTCAATTCCTTAGCTGCTGCCGGAGTAGTGCTACTGGCTGGTTGTCAGAAAACACTGAGCACATGCATTTTATATTCTATTGCTGCCAGTAGTAGTGCTACTGCTGGGTTGCAACTGTGCACCACTCCCACAGTACCAGATAGTAAGCAGTCATTTAATACTTACTACCTGGTTTTTTAATATTGTGGGTGTCCTAATTATATCTACAATTTATTTCATTCTAAAACTAAATATATACATGCTAAATCATCATTCTCAGATTATTTTTATAGTATTTTCATCCAAATTATTTCATCATTTCTCCATTATCTAACATATATTAATCATTCTTATTCTCAAATCATTTTCATAATATTTCAATCCAAATCATTTCATCATTTCTCTATTATCTAACATATATCCCGCAGCAAAGCGCGGAGCATTTAGAGAATGAGCAAGACCAAAATGCTCCTGAAGAAATATGTCAAACTATCTGTTTTGTCGCATATTTTAGTCAAATTTTCATCGCATATTTTATAGGAATAAAGTGAAACAAAACAGGGTCAAAAAATAAAAAGAGAAACTAGATCAAATGAGTAAGGGCATGAATGATATTTTTTCCTAATTAGTTAACATCCTTTAGGCTGAGTTCTTATCTCCACTTTTCCCAACTCACCTCCCCCGTTTTCCACGCACACGATTTTCAAACTACTAAACGGTACTTTTTTTACAAAAATATTTCTATATGAAAGTTACTTTAAAAAATCATATGAATCCATTTTTCAAATTTATTTTAGCTAAAAATTAATTAATCATACGCTAAATGCTGCTTTGTTTTGTGTCCTGAACACATCCTAAGTTGCATTCACTAAATAGGATCAGACTAGATGTTCGTTTTTTTAAAAAAAAAGGTCAGATGAGCAAACTTTAAAAAATAATAAATTAATTAATAGTTAGGTTTTAAAACAGGGTAAAAACACAGTTGCTCCTTAATCAAACCAGATCCTAAATTAATTTCCATCCTAGAACAGGTGCACGTTGACCACCTGCTAAATTAGATGGCAAGCACACACAGCTAGCGCGCGGTAGCAGTAGTCGTAGACCACGCTGGAATATTATTGCGTGTTTCGGTCTGTCCAAGACGAAAACAAAACAAAACAAAACAGCATCGTAACGTTCATGCGAAGCACTAACCTTTGCCAAGAACACCATTAGTAGACGACTAACCCAATCAAACAATGCCATTATTCAAACACATCAAGCTGGCAAAATCTCTTCAGGGACCGGATGCTCAAACCCAGAAACGTTATTCTGTCATGGACTACATGCGTACCAAAAACTCGCCAGTTCAACCTGAAATTATCAAGTAGGTCTCAACTTGCTACATGTATATAAATTCCTCTCTGAATTCTTGAAAGTCACCGATCCATCCGAACAAAGAAAGGGGGAAGAAGAAGCTGTCGCATAGGTACTATAGCGAGGTTTCAGGAGGGGAGATCGTTGATCGAGGAAGATGGCGAAGGCTCTCCTCGCCGTCGTCGTCGTCGCCGTGGCGGCGGTGCTCGAGCTGGGGCTCGTCGGAGCCAACTTCCAGGATCAGTGTGACATCACGTGGGAGCCACAGAACGCCAAGATGACGGAGGGAGGAGACCACCTCACGCTCTCCCTTGTCAGCAACTCCTCTGGTAATTAATTGTCATATCTGATCCATTTACAGTTTTATGTTACTGATCAATAGCATGCATGTCTGATCAATCATCAATAGTGTGTACATTTATCTTGTGGGTACTTTTCTTTTTCACATTCAACACCTCTTGGGAGCAATATAATTTATGGTACTGATTGTGCATTAACACACTTTGTTTCCATCAGAAGAATTTTGTTTTACTTTTGACCAGTACAGTTAGGCCTAATTCATTGCATATATATGATTGTACGTCGCATGCTAGTCATGTTTATAATGTGCACTACCACATAAATTTGGTTTTAGCTCACATCATCAATTAGTTAATTCCTCAATTTGTTTGTTCTAGTTAACCTTGGTTTGGGTAGCCATGTTTCAGCCCAATCAGTTGAGTCAAACAAATGGGCTCAATAGCAAACTGTCCCATCCATTAAGCCCATTTCCCCATTTTCCTTATATCTGAATGATTCTTACATAATTGGCTGTATTAGAGAGGGTGGAGGATGGAAAAAAGAGGTGGTAAAAGCCACACGGCCGTGACGATTAAATGCATTCTGAAATGATCGATCAGCTGTTTTCTTCCCTGAATCAGAAATGAACTAGTGGTCGATCACCACAAACTAAATTTAATTAATGTATCGATCGTGCGTGGCATGATATGCACTGGGCTGCAGGTTGTATGCTCCGGACCAAGAAGCAGTTCATCTACGGCAGCGTGTCGACTCGCATCCAGCTTGTGAAGGGCAACTCGGCCGGCACCGTCACCACCTACTACGTGCGTACATGACATCTCAATTTTTTCCATCAAAACAAATGATCGTCAGCTCTCAACTGAACCGAGATCCCCTCACAAGTCACAAATACAAAAATGTGGTTGCAGACATCGTCCATCGGCGACAAACACGACGAGATCGACTTCGAGTTCCTGGGCAACTCCAGCGGCCTCCCCTACACCTTCCACACCAACGTCTTCGCCGACGGCGTCGGCAGCCGCGAGATGCAGTTCCGCCCCTGGTTCGACCCCACCGACGGCTACCACAACTACACCATCTTCTGGAACCCCTGCATGATCGTGTACGTAACGTAAACAATCTAAGCTACCTACCATGCACATAACCCACTGAGGCCTTGTTCGATTAATCCCTGTGAGGGAGGGATTGGAGGGGATTTATTCTATGCCTATTGTGGTGTGGAATTATTTTCCCTCAATCCCTTTCAATCCTCTTCAATTCCCGTTAAACTGAACAAGGCCTAATGGATCCAAAAGAGTAATACAATGGTGTCATAATATACATACCAATGCTATAGTATGCTAATTACATTTAGACTAACTAGCATGGTGGCCCGCGCAGTTTGCGCGGCTAGCATCATTATTTTTTCTCTTATATAATAGCATAGATGTTTTCTCATTATATTATTCAAATATATTAAAATGACAACATAATTTTAAATTTTGCAATAACTTTACAAAACTACTAATGTGTAATATTCATATTATATTTTATATACGTGATAGTTATTAATTATTTTTAATATCAAATTTTAGTTATTTGTAAATTATATATATTCCTATATGGATTCTCGACTTGTCTTTTAATATTTTTTTTTAATTCTGAATTTTCTGTAAATTGTATTTCTATATAGACTATATGATTTTATTCCAATATTATTTATTTTTATTTCTGATTTTTCATATTATATTTTATATACTTGTTAGTTATTAATTATTTTTAATATCAAATTTTAGTTATTTTTATATTATATATATTCCTATATGGACTCTAGACTCGTCTTTTAATATTTCTTTTTTTAATTCCGATTTTTCTGTAAATTGTATTTTTATATAGACTCTATGCTCTTCCTCCAATATTATTTATTTTTATTTCTGAATTTTTATTATTTCTAATTGTATTTCTATGTAGACTCTAAACTCATCTTTTAATATTATTTAATTTTTTAATTTTGAATTTCAGTTACTTCTAAATTGTATTCCTATGTTGACCTTAAACTATTCTTCCCATGTTTTTCTTAATTTTGAATTTTAGTTATTTGTAAATTGTATTTTTATACAGACTCTAAACACTATTTTTAAATTTTATTATGTTTATTCCAAATTTTAGTAAGTTTTAAATTCATATATGGACTCTATACTCTACTTGTAATATTCCTTATTTTTTAATTCCGAATTTCTATTTTTTTTCTTAATTGTATTTCTATATGGACTCTATACTCTACTTCTAATATTCCTTATTTTTAATTCCAAGTTTATATTATTTCCTAATTGTATTTCTATATGGACTCTATACTCTACTTCTAATATTCCTTACTTTTAATTCCGAATTTCAGTTATTTCCTAATTATATTTCTATATGGACTCTATACTCTACTTCTAATATTCCTTATTTTTAATTCCGAATTTCAGTTATTTCCTAATTATATTTCTATATGGACTCTAGTCTCCTCTTCTAATATTCCTTTTTTTTAATTCCGAATTTCAACTATTTCTAAATTGTATTTCTATATGGACTCTAGTCTCTTCTTCTAATATTCCTTATTTTTTAATTCCGAATTTCAGATATTTCTAAATTGTATTTCTATATGGACTCTGCCTTTTCTTTTTCTCCGATTAATGTGATAATTTCTAGGCCATGAGAGCGAACGTGGAGGCTCCTTTTTCTTTTCTATATGGACTCTAGTCTCCTATTCTAATATTCCTTATTTTTTAATTCCGAATTTCACCTATTTCTAAATTGTATTTCTATATGGACTCTAGTCTTCTCTTCTAATATTCCTTATTTTTTTAATTCCGAATTTCAGCTATTTCTAAATTATATTTCTATATGGACTCTGTTTTTTCTTTTTCACCGATTAATGTGAGAATTTCTAGGCCATGAGAGTGAACGTGGAGGCTCCTTTTTCTGTTCCTTTAATAATATAATAGATAGATGTGTTATAATATATGAAAATAGTTTAACCACAGGTTTTATCAAAAGTCATCAGTATCGTCTGACCAAACAACTAATAATATTCCATCATCTCTACGATCAGATCTCACTGGACAGACGACTCAATTGAGAGACACAAATATTTTTGTTTCAGGTGGTTCGTGGACAGCATCCCAATCAGGGTGTTCCGGAACCACGAGAAGGAAGGGGTGCCGTTCCCGACAAAGCGGCCGATGTACGCCTTCTCCAGCATCTGGGCGGCGGAGGATTGGGCCACGCAGGGTGGCCGCGTCAAGACGGACTGGACCAAGGCCCCTTTCGTCGCCGAGTACCGTGACATCGGCCTCAACATCTGTGAGTGCCCCGGCTCAGGCTCTGGCTCCAGCTCCAGCTTCAGCTCCAGCTCCAGCTCTACCTCCGGCGATGCCGAGGACCCAGCGTGCGCGCAGCGGTGCGCGACGTCGGACCACTGGTACGCGGCGGAGGGGCTGTGCCAGCTGAGCGACAAGCAGCTGCGGCAGATGAAGGCGGTGCAGCTGGGCTACACCATCTACGACTACTGCGCCGACGCCCAGGCCAAGGGACGCCCCGTGCCGCCGGAGTGCAGCATGCCGCAGTACTGATCATGCATGCGCATGTCTAGTTTCACTTGATTTTTCATGGCATGTTTGATTAATGGCTTCTTGGAAGAAGTAAATCTCTGTTGTTTTATTTTGGATTATATATTATATATGAACATGATTATTTGATTTGTTCGTGTACTCATGTTGTTCTTCTCTTTTTTTCCGATGAATGCATTGTGTGTTCTTCTTGTTCGGGGTTATAATGGGGTGTTATATATAATTATCAACCATAGGTATGCACTGCACTCTTATTTATTTTGTGATATGTGTATTTATGAAGGCATCTAGATGTGCCTATGCATATCTGGCTGTTCAATTGAGTACACAAGATTGTCTTTTTATATATACAACACTCCACTGCATGAAGAATTGGGTCATCGATTTATCTTGTTCAGAAGGCTCATATACAACCAAAAAATTGCTATAGGCAGACGCAACATTGTTAGAAACTCGGGTGCATGAAGAATGCGACAGCTGACAAGTTCACTTTAGGTATCTCATCTTATCATCGAGTTTGGATCACGTCCTTAACCCACAAATACCAGATATAATGTGTCCCTTATATAACTTGCAAAACCAGGGCACAGGACAAGGAAGACGCTATATCTGGTATTACGGTTTAAGGACATGATATAATTATATAAACTCGACGATAAGAAGAGAGACTAAAATTAACTTATTCCGTGAAGAATTGGGCCCCTTCATGGTTTGGGCCTTTGGAAGTATCCGAATTTGTCCTGGCCCAGGTATGTGTTTATTTGAAGAGTGGATTCACATACCGATCTGCAGATTACTTACCAGGCCAAGTCCTCTAAAAAAAACCTTACCAGGCCAATTTGGAAATGCTGATTTTTTTTTTCTTCTATATATGATCTATATGTGCGTTTATAGCATGCAATAAACAATATTTGTGCGTTTATAACATGCAATAAACAATATATGTGTATAACCAAAAGTGTATCATAATATATTAATAACGTATTTTACATGTATCTGAAAATAAATAATTAATTATGAGTTTGACTTAAAAGGGAGTTCTTTTTTGTTTGTCATACCTGGGCGGCCTTGGGCTGAGATTTTTTTTAAGGCAAGAGGGAACTTTATTAATGACTAAATAGAGGATTACATTCTTGATTTAACAAGTCTACGATTGATGCGGGGCGCACAGCCTCCATTCTCCACATGACCTAGTACTTATTGCCATTTGTGCTAACACATGGGCAACCCTATTAGCTTCTCTCTCAATCTTGTGCATCTGCACCCGTTGGATACATTGTATCACACCTTTGATTTCTGCGACCGTCGTCGGCCAGGAGAATCTTGAAGCTACCTGCTGTGTTAGAGCCTGAACAACATCAGCATTGTCTAGCTCCAGAGTAATCGGCATATGAATCCACTTTATTTTTGGATGGACCTTCACGTGGACCACCTTGTAAATCTGACAGTCATTTCCTATCATGCCATTGACATGTGTCATGGCAAAGCTTAATTGCCAATGCTGGTTTAATTTGTTTTTATAGAAATGGTTCAATTTGTTTGGCGACCCCTAACTATCACAGCCAATCGAATTATTCATCAAAACTTAAAACCCAGACATTTTAAACCCTAAATTCTTCAACCAAATGTCGTGTGGGTTACTTAAGATGATAGTGTGGAGGCGGCCAGAGGTACTTTCCTTTTAGTGCAGTAGCTAGGGTAAGACCTAGTGGGCTTGTTTTGTTATAATGGGCCTCTACCATGTAAAAAACAAGCTCCAACATGGAAATCGTGTATCTATTTTTTTTTTCAATCTCTTTTTTTTTTTGGTATTTTGGTACGTCGTCCATGTTGAAGTCAGTTTTCAAGTTCGTTCGCTTTTGGAAATACATATCCGTGTTTGAGTTGATTTTAAGCTCATTTGCTTTTGGAAATACATAAGAAGTTGTATAAGAAATCTCTTTAAAGAAACTCATGCTAACTTGAGATGAAATATGAACTCCTAATTACAGCTCATGATTTTCTAAAAGAAATATTCAAGCGAATTCTCACAGTGAATTTTACCCTAACTAAACCGTATAACAATAATAAAGTTAAAATAACATTTACCCGTTATAACGCACGGGCATTTTTTTCTAATAAAATAAAATATAATAAACATATATCAGGTTGATTAAGAATTAACCAGCAAGTTTGATAGTGCTGATAGGTATACCATGGTTAAGTGTGAGAATACTGTTGGTCATGCCTTTGCAAACAACACTATTGAGTATCATCTTGATTTTTTATGTGAGGATTGTTGGAAATGGATTCAGCTGTTGGCAATAACTGCTGGCGGCGTAGTGCACGTGGCATATACGTAACCGTCTACACTATTTAAAAAATATTTTTCATGATACCATCCTTTTATTTTATTGGTGGATTTAATGAATACTCGCTTATAAAAATAGTTGAGAGGAATTCCGATCAACAACCGCCAAAGCTCGTGTTTACTTAAAAGAACCGCTTGTAAAAATAGAATTCTTTTTATATGTGGACCTCTTAAGTAACACGCAGGTAAAATATGATTTTCTCTGGTGGCTACTTGAGAGCACCAACAGAAGAAAATAAAATAGTGATATTAAATAGACTTCGATCGCGCGACAGAAAAATGGAAAACACAGAATCCATCTTCTCTCCCCCAAGCCTCTCTTCCTCTCCCTTACATCTCATTTCTTCCTCCGCGTCCTTACTCCCTCCAGCCTCCACCTTCGCCGAGGTGCTCTCGGCGACGGCCATGGTGATAGCCATGGCAACGGGAGTAGTGTGGGGAGGCACGCGGGTGATGGATCCAGTGGCAGGAGGCATGTGAGCGGCAGTTCCTATGAACAGGAGGTGCGCGGGTAGAAGGGAGGCAGTGGGAGGTATCGGGCGATGGATCCGACTATGGAGAGGCTCGTGGGCAGCGGATCCAGCAACGGGGAGGTTCGCGGCTGCGGGTGAGCCGACGGAAGTCGGACGTGCCTTCGGGCGGGTGGCAAAGCTCAGGCAGTTGCGGGGAGGTTCGTGTCTGCGGGCTGGCCAGTGGAACTCAGGCGCAGTTGCGGGCGGGTGGTGACCGCAAGGCTCGCGGGGCTTGGGTCATGTGGAAGGTCAGCAGTAGCGAGGACAACGAACCGACGACGTCAACCACAACCTCCTTTCTCCTCTCTTCTAGCTATATCAAAGGTCACCCGACCTCCTTCCTCCGCGTCGGCAGGAGGAGCTAGACGCCAGAGTCCAAGAGTGCATTGTGGTGGTGGTGGTCTATTTGTGAATCATAGTGTGCTGTGTTTTTTGGTTAATGATTTGTGATTTGTTGTGATTGTGATTTTTGATCTTTGAAGGGATTGAAGGATTTGCTGTTTGATTTGTGGATTTGTGATCACGGGATTAGAGGCAAACTGAAATGATAATTTGTATTTCTTGCTAACAAAATCTTTTTTGCTAGCAGTATGTTCTAAAATGATTTTTTGTGGCCAGAAAATCTTTCTACTAGCAGTCGGTATACCGTAGCCATTTAAAAAAACAGATTTTCGCATGTGAATAAGGCCCACTTGCGGAGGTCGTCTAACTTCACTGACTTATGGTCGTAGGTGGCTAGGCGGCCCCGTTGGTGAAAATGTGTTATGGCCGCTACAAAAAATGGTTTTTTAGTACTGCTGGTCAGCAAAAAAAAATGTGAGGGGTATATAACACTACTAGATCGGGAGAATCTCCCGGGTGCCAAAAACACTCCGCAACTAGGGAAAAACACTAGGCAACCGACGTTACCGAGTGAAGTACTCCGTAAATAATGCCCGGAAGTGACGCAGGATTCCCGTGTTCACTTACGAGTTTTTCTCTAACAAACACCCAGGAAGGCCTCGGAACATCCCGTGTGTTTCTCTAACTCCCGGGAATAAATCACGGAAGGGTAACGGGAAGAGCTAACAGAACAAAGACGGGACGGAACGTGTTACCGAGTTTCATTCGTAACACTCCTAAAGGATTTTCCATGTTACGGGGCGTCACGTGGCTCTGCACTCCGCAAGCCTTGAAGTAACACACGGTAAGACGGCTACGATTGCTGGGTGTTTATTGTACTCTTCACACACCGGGAAGTACTCACACCCTGCTTTTTTTTTAATATGCATTTGCACGTTCAATTTGCAGCAATTGCATCCATATAAACCCATCAAATTAATCACACATCCAAGCTTTTTGGATCAAAAATTGCCAACAAAGAATCAACTAAATATGCAGTATTCAATGTACATCTACAAATCATCATAATAAGAGCTCTATGTTTAAGTAATTACAGTATACTTTTCTTGAAGTAATCATCTAATAAAGAGCTACATGGAGTCCTAATTAAAAGATCATCTAATAAAGTTCGTAACACAGGCACTCAAGCCTTGTACACTTCAGTATGATCCTAAACTCACATAGGAATTTAGTAGCTTAATCCCATCTTCAAGCTAGTCAAGATTCTACTTGTTTCCCATCTTGACACAAGAATATAGCACTACGTGTGTAAGCCAAGAACAATCTCCAAAGCTTCAAGACCATAAGCATGATTTTCTGCATAAAACCGAAGGAAACGTGTCTCACACACAATTGAAGCTAGGCCCATAAGATCCCAGCAGAAAGATTAATTTGTCGATTGGATGGTAATGACTGTAAATATATAAGAATATAGCTTAAAAAATAATACAATCCAGATGACTGAAATTATACAGGTAAATAGTTATATATCTACACACATTGGATTGGGGGATAACAAATTTAAAAGAATAGTAAGGCAAAGGATGATCACCTCTGCAGTTTGAAGTGGTCCATGCAAGAAAAATGAAGACATTAATGTGCAACCAGAATACCCGATAGTCTCACTCATTCATCCAAGACCCATCTATGAAATCAATGATGTTTCTGAAAGTAAACAATCCAATTTTAGACATTCTTTATGCTGAAATGAACAATACCAGAAAAATTAATTAAGCAGGTCCTGGCAATATCAGGTAAACTCTAGAAATAGTGATCTCTTCTAAAACTAGCAATTAGCCAATGGAAAGCTCCTTGCATTGCTTTAAGGGCAAATAAGTTATCTTTAAATCAAAGGCAAAATAAGCTTGTGCTTAATTTGATCTCTATATGTAGTTGTACAAAGAAAAAAAAAGTACAGTGCTCTTTTAAATACAACCCAGAAGATACG